TCCCGATGGCAAACACCGGGGGGGGCGGCTTGTTTTACAACGTCGTTGCCAAGCGGCGAAAACCCAACCCCGATGGCAAACAGGGGGAGGGGGGGGTGTAATCATGGTCGTGCATGCCGTAGTCGCTAGACCATTGACCACACGTCCTCGAGAGTATTGTTCCCACTGGCTCGATCACCGATGGACCTTGCTACTTTGCCCAAGGTGGCTCAAAATGTTTCATGGGGGGACCAATCTTAGTGCCGCCTGTGAGGATCAAGGTTGACTCGACCTACTTGTGTTTTCTTATCGTAGTCGGGTGAGGTGTGTTGCGAGAGGTCACATGCAGGCCACACCTCCCCTACACGCCCGCCCGTAGTACCTTCCAAACATCCGTACCGGTACATTCCCACTGACGTGGACGCCTTCCGTGGTCACAGGCCAACTACCCAATCAGCATCGACCGCGCTGACCGGTTGACCAATGGAACACTCAGGTCTCGTAGCGGGAAATGAAAGCACTCAAGTGTTGTAGCGAGAAAAATACCATTCGAGTGTGTATATCTTGTTTTCATCCCCTTGGCGTGCACACCTGTCTTGGCTTTCGGTGTTGCCCCCCTCGCACCGGGAAAAACAACTTCCTTTCTAATTGGCTTCCTTGGCGTACATACTCTTGTTTTGGCTTCCTGTCTGTGTTGCCCCCCCCTTTCCAGGACGGGCACATGGGCGTTGAATAACCTCTGCCGCGGCCTGCCGCCACCGCCTCTCTCGACCGTCGCCCCCATCGTGGGCACGCTTCGTCCCATCATCGAGGCGGCTAACACGGGCGACGCGGGCACACTGATTGATGCGGGGTAAGGGTTGTTATGGAGGGGGAGACGCGCACGAATAAAAGGGGAGACGGAGAGAGAGAAAGACGATGTGGAGGCCGACAGCTTATTGGCAGACTTCGAGGGCAGACATGCAATGCAAGAGACACACAGAAAGAGGGAAGAAGGGGGGGCAAGAGACACACAGAGAGGGGGCGGGGGAGAGAGAGACTCGTAGGCAGGCAGAGAGAGAGAGAAGGAGAAAGAGCGACCAGGAGGGGAAGAGGCGGGCAGAGTAACCCGGGTGGACACCAATATTGGGAGGGAGAAGGAGCAAGAGACAGGGCAGCGACAAGAAATCAGGACTGTTTTTCTCATACTCCGTTCTCTGTCATCAAAATCGAAACGAAGTTCGCTCCCAGTCGTCTCCTTTGTGCATGGTGGTGTTTGGAGGTAACCTCTCTCTGGGATCTGCGAGTGAAAACAGATATGGGCGGGGGGCGGCCTCGTCGTGAGTCGATTTTCGCGTGCCAAAGGCTGTGAAAGTTTTCTCATCGCTCGCGTGAAAAAGTGACCAATACCACCGTAGATTGCATTAGGTACCACACCTCCCAATTTCAGAGCTCGGCTTCTCCGCCCACGAAGAGGAAGCCAAAACCTAATGATGCGTTTTCGGAAAGCTCTCTTGACCAGAAGGTGCCAACGACGACAAATTTTCGGCACCGTCACCTCTGTTTTTTGCTCGGAGAGTATTCGGGCTTTGACCCTCTGCGGGGTGTGGTGTGTTATGCGACCAAGGGTAGTGTGTGCTGGATGGAGTGATACCATCCGAAGGGATTGAATCTCCCTGTGGAGTGCACGTCAGGGGCGTGAGGACGGTGCTAATGCTGTAGAAAGGCGATGGTAAAGAACACCAAGTGACGCCGAACGCTCCTGGTGTTCAAGATGAAAGCAACTTGTTGTATGGGCAATTGTTGGGCCAAGCCTACCCAGCTGTCGTCTCGGCTGCGACTGCTGTTGCTGTTGCTGTTGCTGCTGCTGCTGCTGCTGCTCTCGTGTTGCCACTGCTGCTGCTGCTGCCGCGAGTGTTGTTCTTGCTACTGCTTCTGCTACAGCCGCGGTTGCTGGTGCTGGTCCTGTTGCTGCTAGTTGCTGTCATGTTGTTGATGGTGGTTGTGCCGCTGCAGCTGGTTATGCCGTTGTGTTTGTTGGCGCCGCTGTTGCCCCACCCCTCCCCCCGCCCGACCATGCCGGACGAGCAGGTGGGTACTGTACCACATCACCAGGGGCGGGGGCGATCGCATCGATGCCGTGCAGTCCGCCGGGTTGCTGTCAATGATGCCTGACATGCTCCTGCACGAGAACCATCACGTGAGGAGAGAGGGTTGTATCTATTTCCCTTTGGGGGCACGTTTCTTGCTTCCCACTTTAACGGTTTTTAGTGCAGGATTATTTACTAGGCACGTGCTCTCGTGGTCAAGCTCTTGAGTTTGTATTTTATCGAGCCTAGAGTTTCGCATCTCCGCCGGAAGTTTTGAAGTTCACAGTTTCTATTTTGTTGACCCTGAAGGTTTTGTGCCTCTTCGTCGTATTTTTTTCCGGGAAAGGTTCTTAGGCGCGGGTGCTTTCTTGAAGTTCAATCTATCGAACTACTTTATACGGAGTATGAGATGAGTGATTTAACGGAACGCTGACCCCCCCCCCCCCCCCCCCCCCCCCCCCCCCCCCCCCCCCCCCCCCCCCCCCCCCCNTCGTCGTATTTTTTTCCGGGAAAGGTTCTTAGGCGCGGGTGCTTTCTTGAAGTTCAATCTATCGAACTACTTTATACGGAGTATGAGATGAGTGATTTAACGGAACGCTGACCCCCCCCCCCCACCCCTCTGTACCTCCCCGCACTTGCGATGTCGACTGCCTGTTGAACCAATCAGGTGGTGCGGCCCGTGATCCGCGCGATGGACAACTTGGCCTGTACGTCGTCCGCGTACAGCGGGGTGAGTCAAGTCTGTTTTGTACGGTAGCCTTCGTACGATTTTCTGTAAAGAAAGCATGTTCGACAAAGCATGCGATCGGGGGAGTTGGGTTAGGGAGTAGGGTCTGCGTACCCCCTTGCTGTCCTAATTCCTCATTAGCTTAAGTTGTCGCGAAGGCGGCCCGTGGGGGGTGCACTCATAGCCGTGAAAATGCCGTAGTCGTTAGGTTAGCGCCATTCACCTGGCATCCCTAGGACGGAGCACGCACCGGACCAGGCTAGCACATCGCCAAGCACGAAGCGCCGTGAGGTATGCGGTAAGTCGCATGGAGGGTGCGCTGCACCCTGGGGCATGGACTACCCGCCCTTGACGTGGAAACCAAGGCGATGTTCATGGACTTTTCCACCCACCCCTCTGCGCGAATTCCCACACCTTTTGCTTTTTCTACCATGTGGGTGCGGATGATAATCAGTCGAGCCTGCCCCGGATTGATACAGGGGTCCTTGTTAATCCGTAACAGCGATGTGGAGGTCCTATTCATGAAGGGCACAATCTCCCCAACGAGGACACTTCCCTCCCTTCACGACAGCAGCGTTTGCGTGGTTCCCTCCTCCCTACCGTACACACGCACGTCCCGCTTTTCTACTCGACACCCTTTGGCAGGCGCTAATCGAGGCCGGGGTGCTAGATCCGCTGGTGGAGACGTTGGGCCACGACAGCTCCAAGGTAGGCATGCATGCATGTGCGCAAGAGCGGCCCGTGCGAGCTTGGAAGCCGGGCACTTCGCAAGCAGCGGTAGGCTGCTAACATGTGTTTGCAAGCAGCGATAGCAGCGGTAGGCTCACGTTGTGGGTTGGACCACTTTGACCGTTCTGAGTAGCACTGTTGTTCGGCCTCCTACAGGGGAACCACTGCTGATACTCTGTACGTGGTTTCGGCGTAAATTATGCCCTCCATTTGAGCCATTGAAGGTTGTTCTTTCTGAGCGGAGGAACTTTCCGGTGGTTGTGTTTCGTCTTGATTTGGAAGGTTCCAAGCTGTAGGGTGAAAAAAAAAGGAACGGTAGGCACGATACGCTCAGTAGCTTATTCAGGGTTTTTATATTAGGTGAACACGTTGGATAAAGCTTGCAATCGGGAGCGTTGGGTTAGGGATAGGGTCTGCGTACCCCCTTCCTGTTCTATTTACTCATTAAATATTTGTTTTCGCGAAGGCGGTCCGATAAGCTCGGCATGGTAGGACTCTTGTGTCAAAGAAATGATATGCATGTATATGTATGTATGTTCGCCCTTTTTTCTTGCTGGGGTTTTGCGCTCTCTGAAGCGTGTGTAGGATGGGCATCTATGTTTCCACCTTCTATTGCGATGATGGCGTCTGCCAGCTGATGGCGTCTGCCAGCTGATGGAGCAGCTCCTTGTTTGGAGGAGATTGGACCCTCTTTCGCCTTTCATTTCGCTCCCGCGAAGTCGTTTGTGTTGCGTGTGCTTGCACGGTCGATCGTCGTCATCATTGAAACGCCTCCTTCATTTCTCTCTCCGTATCTATCTTTGTACTCACCCTGTACCCGTCGGCGATTTTGTTGCTTTCGTGCTATTTTACGCCACCATCCTACGCGTTGCCGTGATGCCGTTGGCCCAGGTGCGAGGCGGCGCTCTTCGGCTGCTTTCGTGCATCGCGGCCGGGTCTGCCGAACAAGTTGATGCCGTGGTGTCGACTGCTGACATCATTCCAAGGTATGGTGGCATTGCCGTTTCTGTAAGGTATGTGCACCGTTCAGGTTGCGTAAGATACCACACCCCCTCTGGACCGAAATTTGAAGCCCGGTTGCTCTGCAGCAAAAGGTGCCGAAAATGGCGGCGTTCGGACCATGTATGCTCGATTCTAAACAACCAATTCGACAGGAAAGGACGCCTCGTTGTCTCCACAAGCACTACCGTTACCATCGCAAGAGACTTCTGAAGGGCCCCCGAAGTTTTCGGGGTATCTTCGTCAAGGAGCCGGTACAGTACATTAAGCCTCGAAAGGGGGCGACGTGTGGCAGATTGTCGAAAACACGGGGAAACAACGTACGAGGACGACCCCCCCCCCTCCCCCCCCCGCGGGTCTCCAAACCGACCTAAAACACTGCCGTGACCAAACTGGAGGAAAGCAACGCTCTGTGTGCGGAGGTGGTGCGGTTCGAAAGGGGGTGATGGGGTCGATGTGAAATTTCTCAGGCAAACAATGAGCGACCCGTACCTCCAAACCGTTCCAGAAAAGTATCATGGCGGAAATGGAGGAGGGCACTTGTGGAAAAACTCAGGCAAACAATGATTGAGCGTGACCCCGGTCCAAACTGGTCGGATACAGCGTCATGCGGAAATGGAGGAGGGTACTTGTGAAACAACTTACATGGGCAAACAATGATCGAGCATGATCCTTCGCCCCACCGCGTTCGAAAACAGTGTGATGGTGGAGCTAGAGGAGGGCAACGCTCTGTGCAAGCGGGAGGCGGCTTGGGTGTTTCTTAACATGTGCGAGTGCAGCGGTGATCCGCGGGCGACGATAATACCCGAAATCGTTGGGCACGGAGTGATCGCGGCGGTCTGCGAGAACCTTAGCAGCGATTCCGACGCAGGCAAGGCCAGCCGGGAGCCGGTTGTGCTGTCATTGTCGGCGCTGCTGCCACTGTTGTTGTTGTTGCTGATTTACTTGTTTTTTTGTTGTTGCTGATTTTCTTGTTTTTTTTGCTGTCGTCGTCGTCGTTGGTGTTGCTGGTGCTGCCGCCGTTGTGGTTAATTGTTGTTGCTGGTGCTGCCGCCGTTGTGGTTAATTGTTGTTGCTGGTGGTGTTGCTGCTGCTGTTATTGTTGTTGTTGCTGTTGTTCTTGTTTCCGCCACAGCAGTTACCCCTCCTGCACTCCTACAGGTGGATGCCTCCGCCAAACGCTTACCCTGCACACCGCCGTCGACCCCTCCTCGCAACCCCGCAGAGACTCTCCTGGTGATGCTGTCCCTGCTCTACACGATACTCGACGAGGGCGGGCTTGGATCAACCCTTACGTTGTCGGAGTACACCACCCTTGTAGAGGAGGCCCAGGGGTTCGACAAGATCATCAGCCTCGCAAACGACCACGACGACATGGAGATCTACGACAAGGTATTGAGATCTACGACATGGTATTGAGATCTACGACATATTGTTGAGATTTACGGCAGTTTATTGAGACCTACGACATAGTATTTAGATCTACGACAGGTACTGAGATCTATGACAAGGTAGTGTCCTTTTTTTTCCTTTCCCTAGTTCTCGCACTACAAGTACGCAAGATGTGTTGCTGTGGTTCCAGGGTGACACGGAGATCTACGACAAGGCACTGAGATGTACAAGATAGTGTCCTAACCTATGCAACCCTTGCGAGCGGGAGTAATTGCTGTGTAGTCTTCGCTTATGACACGGGGATCTTCGACAAGGTACGGAGATCTACAACAAGATAATGTCCTTATTTGCCCTAATCCTAACCCTTGCAAGCAAGCACGAGTAAGCCGTGTAGTCTTGGCTTGTGACATGGAGATCAACGACAAGAAATTGAGCCTAGACCCGAGATCGAGTCTTCCTGGCAGCGGTCTCACTGGCACCACCCCTGCGTGTGTCTCCGGACGGTCTCCAGGCAATGGACATCATCCAGGCGTTCCACGACAGCCAACAAGATGAAGACGACGACGACGATGAGTTGGTCTTTGGTGTGGCCCACGCCACAGTCGCCGCCGCCGCCGCCGCCGCCACGCGCGCATGCGCTGTTAGCTCCGATCATGATAATAGCAGCGACATGATGTCCGACGACTCGCTTTCGGACGACAGCTTTCACAGAGAGCTCGCGGGCGCCGCCTCCGGCCCGATCACCCCGCCGCCGGCGGCCCAGCGCCGTCCCTCCGAAGCGTCACCAATTGCGTCGCCGACGGCGGAGCAGGAGGAGGAGCAGCAACCCGGGTGCAATTTCAAGAGTGAAACAAAATCCTCGAGGCAACCGCTAGGGACCGTCCGGCAGCAGCACCTACTCGCCACCGGGAGTAGTTCGGCGCTTGCTCCCCCTCTCACCGGCGGCGTTGCTGCGGGGGGCAGGAAGAGGACGGCTGCTGTTCGTGGGTGCGAGGTCGGCGACATGGAGTAGGGATGTCCACCCCGAGAATGAACGCTCCTCTTTTTTTTTTGCGCCACCGGAGGTAATTTGGTGCTTTCTCCTCTTGGCGGCGGCGGTGGGGGGAAGGGGGGAGGGGGGGTGTACTCATAGTCGTGCATGCCGTAGTCGTTAGACCATTGACCTCGCATCCCTACAAAGCCGGGACGGAGCACGCCGGGTTCTCACCGGACCAGGCTCTCACATCACCAAGCGCGAAGCGCCGTGAGATATTCGGCGAGTCGCATGAAGGGTGCGCTGCATCCTGCTAAGGGTGTTCGGCATCTTGTTCTTACTTCCTTGCGTACGGATGGCGGCTGCGTATGACTTAATTTATTTTCTGGTGCTTTCACTTCCAGAGACAGTTGTTAGCACTGCGTAACTGCCTCTAGGGTGCTTGACCATTTAACATAACGTGGTGCGATCATCCCCCTTGCGCGGAGTGAGGGTTCTCGACCCCGCACAACATGATCTACTCGACCACCAGTATGGTTACCACCAAAAAAACAGAGGGAAAACAAACAAAACGGTAACCTGATTGCCGAGCTCACGAAGTGAATTGGCTTGTTTCACAACGTCGTTGCCAAGCGACGAAAACCCAACTCCGAAGGGGGGGGACTCCGTGGCGATGTTGATGCGGGGGGCGGGAAGAGGGCGGTTGTTGTTCGCGGATGTTATGTCGGCGGTGTTGAGCACCGGGGTATATCCCCCAGCACGTATGCATTTTTTTTTTTTGCGACAAGGGACAACTTTGGTCGTTAGGTGGCAACCGAGCGATTTGTACCTAGCACTGTTGGCTGACTGCTTTTTGGTGTATTTTTGGGGTGGTGCAGAACGCGCAACCACCAACGACCCCTTTTTTTGTGCCCAGGGCTCGATCCTTTTTTCCCTACGTGGGGAAACCAAGCCTCTTGTAAAGCTAGACGTGGGCAGGAGGTGTGTATGTTGCCCGCGCGCATAGGTTGCACGGCAGTAGTAATTGATAGTGCGGTTTAGTATTTGATAGTGCGGTATGGTTATCAAGGATGAAGGTACTCCAAGTGAACCGTGTGTACCACGTTTTCTTGTTATTTTCATTGACGGTGCGGTGCGGTATGGCACGGTGCGGTGCGGGCGAAAATGGCACACCAGACGACACAGGGTCGGCGTTATTTTGTGGGCTCACTGCGCTTCTTTCTTTTGTTTGTCTCGAAAAGTTATAACTCTTACGGGCTGGCTTCCGAGTGTTTATTTCAAAGCGTGGTTTTTGATGTTGTGCGTCTTGGAGCCGTAGTTTGGAACTAGGTGCTCAAACCCGGCATCGTTTTTTGTTTGCCACGTTTGTGTCTGGTAGTACTTAATTAAGGCCTGCCGGCGATGTCCGGTGAATGAATAGTTTGTGTTGAGCCCGTTCCCTCGTCATGTTTTGCGTCGAATGTTTTGTTTCGCGTGGTTGATTACTTGCCGTACCTCTTGGTGTTTTCGTTGTCGGCTGGCTGCCGCCCTCTTGTTGCCAGAACCAAGCGGTTTCCTCGCTTTGTTGTCGTATTCGATTTTTGGGCTTGCTTGTGTTTTTTCGTCTCCGCGTGTACAGTTTCAGATACACCGTTGCGTATCCCTTGTATTATGTTTGTTCCTTCTCTAGGCAATAATGCTTGTGAGTGTGAGGCGTTTTACGTTCTTGCCTCCTGTCTCTCCGTCGCGGAAACAATTCCGTTTAGGTCATGGTGATGACAGAGGCGCCGCACCAATGGAGGCACCAGGCCTCGTGGGCATCCAGTGACGCTTGACCCCATTGCTCATTTCCGTTCTTTCTTCAGGCACACTACTCATGTTTTTAGTTCAGATGGGTGGGCTCATCGAGCAGCACAACAAGTGTTGGCGTTTAGGTCTCTCAGTTTTCTCTCTTTTAGGGTAATATCGGCAGTCATTTTGACGTGTTTTGTTCGCGTGGCTGCTCGCCGCCGCTGCCTGCTGCCCAGTCTCGGTCGCGCTGAGAGAGACGAAAGGTTGTCATGGCGGGATTGGGCACGGCCAATAGCACAGTTTCACAGGAGATCGCCTTGCCTTGCGAAACGGTAACGTGCAAAGGGCGTTGTGTCTTTGTTAGTAGCATCGACTGTTGACCAATGAAAAAACGTCAGTCCCAGTGCGGTTGACCACAGGGTGTCGTATGCCATCAGTTTTTTTGCGTGCGCCATTTCGTCCCGGTGCGAGCCCGATCTGTTGCTTCCACTGTGGCGGTGGAAGTGTGCCATCTGTTTCGTTTTGCGTGCCTTTGCTCGTGTTAACCTTGTTCTGATGTGTTGACCCTTTTTTGCGATTGCCATCCGTTGTATTATGCGTGCCCTTGTCCTGGTGCCAAGCTTGTCCTGATATGTTGATTCCGTTGTGGCGAAAGTGCCATCGGTTTTACTATGCGCCTCTTTGCCCAGGTGTCAACCGTGTTCTGATCTGTTGATTCCTTCGTGCTAAAAGTGCCATCGGTTTTGCTATGCGCCTGTTTTGCCCTGGTGCTAAGCTTGTCCTGTTATGTTGATTCATTTCTTTGTGGTATAAGTGCCATCGGTTTTGCTATGCGCCTCCTTTGCCCTGGTGCTAAGCTTGTCCTGTTATGTTGATTCATTTCTTTGTGGTTTAAGTGCCATCAGTTTTGCTATGCGCCTCCTTTGCCCTGGTGCTAAGCTTGTCCTGTTATGTTGATTCATTTCTTTGTGGTTTAAGTGCCATCAGTTTTGCTATGCGCCTCCTTTGCCCTGGTGCTAAGCTTGTCCTGTTATGTTGATTCATTGGTGGTAAGAAGTGCCGTCTGTTACTATGTGTCTCTTTGTCCTGGCGTGTTGCCCTTGCTCTGATCTGCTAAATCCTTTTTTTGGTGAGAGTACCATCCGTTATATTTTGCGTAACTTTGCTCCGGTGTCAACCGTGTTTTGATCTGTTGATTCCCTTTGGGGCGGAAGTGGCATATGTTTTACTATGCGTCCCTTTGCCCTGGCGTTGTTGGTTCAAGTATATGCGGCGTGCAGATCACCACCTGTTTGTTTGCGAGAACAGCGTACTGTACATGAGTCTACATGTAAACGAGCGAGGAATGCATGACGTGTTCTCGAGTGGTGGGCTACCTTCACTTTTCCATTGATTTTTTATTTAAATGTGGAGCAGAGGCAACACGAAGCCGGATATTGAGGTGCAAAGTGATGTGTAAAGTAGTACCGCTTCTCCTCGGTTGTAGCATGCGTTTCCGTCATGCTGAGGACGTGAGCTCTCATGTTTGCCCCCAGGCTCTACCACATGCGACAGCAGTCGGCTTGAGGACCGGGAGTTGGCTTTTTTTTTCTGGAAAGCGGGGCGTGTGTGATGTAGAGTAGGGCAGAATCGTGAGAAGAAAGCCGAAAGGTTGGAGATTACCTGTACGCTAGAATAGGAGGGAGTAACTCATTGCACGGTGTCGGGAGGAATCGCATGCTCGAATAGTCTAATCCTGAGGATAGCAACAACGGAACATCCTTTCCCTTGTCTAGACATTCTACCGCAGTCCCATCCTGGAAGTAATAAAATGGGAGAAGGAGACGCGCCTCTTTTTCTCGTGGAAGTTTTGTGGGGGGTTATTTTCACGCAAGACCTGTACGTAAGATACCACGATGTCGTCTCCTGTCTCGCATGGGGGTGAAGGGGTGAAGCGACGCGTGTTCCTCTCGCCCTCTCTCACGGAGATATTTTTGGCCTAAAAATATTCGAAATTTGAACCGGGGGGGGGGGGGGGGGGGGG